GTGACGCGACTGTCATCGCTGCCGCGTCACAGCCGAGTCACGCAGCGCGGCTCACCCGCCCCAATGGTCTGTAATGATGAGGACTGTATGTAGGGAGTCGTTCCGTTTTTTTTTTGCACTTGTCCAAAAACCTGGCCGATAATGTTTCTGCTCGCCTGCACTATCCTGTAAGGAAACCTGCGACAGTTTTTTTCGAAAGTGTAGACCCATTGTGGCCTGAAAGAGTGCTTGTGCTTGTCCCCTCGTAACACATGTCACAAGGGTTTTTGCAATGAAATACCATCATATTCATGTTCAGCGGGTTAAATTACCCCTGGGGACAAGTTTCTAGCCGAATCTGATATTTCGACCTCACTTGGAAAATGTGGGCTATTCCATGGGTAATAGCAGCAGATTGGAGCTCACCTACCATCGATGACTGGTCTCGGGATGGAATTTCCTCCCGGTAATCAGGAAAATGATGCAGACGGCACGAATAAGTAAGGTATTGTTCTTTGCGAAAAGACATGACTGAAGAGTTATTTCAGTTCGAAGACCAGTCATCACCAGTATGCTAGTCATAGTATCGCTGTTGGCTATCAGTCAGCCATGACTATCCATACCATTTTTTCGAAGTTGAGTCAGAAGCTCAGATTTTGCTAAGGTGACGTCTCCAGGGGTTATTCGACCCTCTGAAGAGCGCTGTGAGTTGCGCTACATGGTGCCAACGCCTCGGCGCCAGCGCGTCCGGAAGAAGAAAAACAGTAAAGAAAAACCTCCATAACCTTGTCAAGAAGTCACCGTGTCAAGATGAGTACAGTGATGTGCATCTCATTGCAAATGGCCGGGCTGACCTGTTGACCTTTCATGGTCAGCTATGAATAATCCGCTATGTCGGGCTGTTTCTGTGCGTAGGTGTGCATATAACCGAAAGAAAATAGGTTTCCTCGATACAGCCACAGAGAACCCAAACTTAGAGGTGACAAAAGTGATATAATGGGCGCAGCATGACGGTTTGAAGTAGAATTGTAGTGACTGATAAGAGCTGGCGAGACAGACCAGAAAGGGAAATTCGGAATTCAACGTGGGTCACAACAACAATGGGACGCTGGCTCTATCGGGGTGAGATAGAGACCGATCACCGGTGAAATAGTGACTCAAAGGGCTGATAAAAATGTGTGAAAAAATGCCTTCAGTTTTTTTACACTCACCTAAACTAAACTGTCACTCAAGCAGCATGCAGAGTTACTTTAAGCGCAGAACCAAGGCCATGAGATCGGGGACATGTCCGATACAATATCAATGAACAGCGCCCGCGATGGACTTTGGCAGGTTTCAGGGGTCACATTTGCTAGAACAGGTGGCCAATGAAGCACTAATCAAAAAAAGCAGGAAAAAGGTGTGGCAAGAGCGTGAAATAAGACCCTATTCAATTTAAGGCATCTGGACGAGTTTCGCAGATTTTGGGTGAGTTCTCCAAAACACTTCGCCGCCTCGTTGCGGCTAATTCTCATGAGGCTACTACCTAGGTTATCTTATCTAATCTAACTAATAAACGCTGGCATTGATAATCGATGCGCCTACGAGTTAATCTCTCTATCAACGTACGAAACGAACACTACGAAATTTAGCACGGGATATAATCAATGCTAACGGAGGTTGATCGGGAATCCAGTTTTTTGAAGCGCATTAAACGACAGGAGGGGACAGCTATATCATTGTTGATCGCCTCCGTTATCAAGTCGATTTGGAGTCGCCGAAGTGGGATATCCTCTATGATTGCGGACTCCGCGATCTTGGACAGTTACAGGGTTTTTTAACCTTGGTTGATCGCGGACGCTGCCTTTAAGATTAATCATGTGACGCGCGTGGCACCTGCGCTCAGCCGAAACTTGTCAGGGCAACACTAACCCTCCATGGGTTTTTTTTCGCCAAGCATTTCACATCAAATCAGAATGGCAGGGGAACCATCGCGTAACTAAAGCTTCTCGCACAGAGGTGACTAAGAGAAGCGAATGAACAAACTAAAAATTTCTTTGAGAATTCTACACAATCCAGCTCCTGTATAATGCACATCGAGGGGAGCCAAACAGGCTATATAGGCATTTCGCACAGTGGCTGTGCATTTTCTAAAGCAATCACGACATTAGTTTTTATCACATATGACTGAGTACTTCTCGTAAATGCGTATTCTCTACGGTCGACCAAAATATCAAGCCCCGTAGGGGACTCGAACCCCTGACCGTTAGATTAAAAGTCTAACGCTCTACCAACTGAGCTAACGAGGCTCCAGCAGCGCTTCGCTGAGTGGCCGTACATTTTCTAAAGCAATCACGACATTAGTTTTTATCACATATGACTGAGTACTTCTCGTAAATGCGTATTCTCTACGGTCGACCAAAATATCAAGCCCCGTAGGGGACTCGAACCCCTGACCGTTAGATTAAAAGTCTAACGCTCTACCAACTGAGCTAACGAGGCTCCAGCAGCGCTTCGCTGAGTGGCCGTACATTTTCTAAAGCAATCACGACATTAGTTTTTATCACATATGACTGAGTACTTCTCGTAAATGCGTATTCTCTACGGTCGACCAAAATATCAAGCCCCGTAGGGGACTCGAACCCCTGACCGTTAGATTAAAAGTCTAACGCTCTACCAACTGAGCTAACGAGGCTCCAGCAGCGCTTCGCTGAGTGGCCGTACATTTTCTAAAGCAATCACGACATTAGTTTTTATCACATATGACTGAGTACTTCTCGTAAATGCGTATTCTCTACGGTCGACCAAAATATCAAGCCCCGTAGGGGACTCGAACCCCTGACCGTTAGATTAAAAGTCTAACGCTCTACCAACTGAGCTAACGAGGCTCCAGCAGCGCTTCGCTGAGTGGCCGTACATTTTCTAAAGCAATCACGACATTAGTTTTTATCACATATGACTGAGTACTTCTCGTAAATGCGTATTCTCTACGGTCGACCAAAATATCAAGCCCCGTAGGGGACTCGAACCCCTGACCGTTAGATTAAAAGTCTAACGCTCTACCAACTGAGCTAACGAGGCTCCAGCAGCGCTTCGCTGAGTGGCCGTACATTTTCTAAAGCAATCACGACATTAGTTTTTATCACATATGACTGAGTACTTCTCGTAAATGCGTATTCTCTACGGTCGACCAAAATATCAAGCCCCGTAGGGGACTCGAACCCCTGACCGTTAGATTAAAAGTCTAACGCTCTACCAACTGAGCTAACGAGGCTCCAGCAGCGCTTCGCTGAGTGGCCGTACATTTTCTAAAGCAATCACGACATTAGTTTTTATCACATATGACTGAGTACTTCTCGTAAATGCGTATTCTCTACGGTCGACCAAAATATCAAGCCCCGTAGGGGACTCGAACCCCTGACCGTTAGATTAAAAGTCTAACGCTCTACCAACTGAGCTAACGAGGCTCCAGCAGCGCTTCGCTGAGTGGCCGTACATTTTCTAAAGCAATCACGACATTAGTTTTTATCACATATGACTGAGTACTTCTCGTAAATGCGTATTCTCCTTTATTCTAGTTTGCGATCCATAGTCATTTAAATCATTAGCTTCGGGAAAAATATGAGTAGCACACAAATATGGCATGTGAAATACGTGCTCTTGTCATGAGTGTCTTACTCCAATTTACAGCTAAGGAAAATATGGAAAAAAGGAAAGACATATATATGGAATGAATTCGTTTGATATGATGAAAGAGATGAGAGTAAAACAGATTAGACCAATGTGTGGCAATGTTATGGAATTCATAAGACATTACAAGCAACAAGAAAAGAAAGAAATTTATGAAAGAATGTAATACAAGGAAAACAAGGCTCAGCAGTCAACGGAGGCAGTGTATTGGATGAAATGCTTGGAGTTATAGAATTGATCGAATGGTGCAGTCTTCATGTAGAAGGTGAGGATAGTGGATAGGTTTTTTTAATGTAATTTTGAATGTAGTAGCAAATCCTGAATCAAATCCCGTTCTTCGGATGCCGTCCATTGGACTTTCTTGGTCTATAACATGTTTTGGCCACGAGGGGAAGATCATCTAGCGTTATGTTGTCTCTTGCCCTAAGGCCGTCAATTGTCCTAGCGTAGATGGCATTACCAAAAATGCCTACAGGTGCCAGATGAAAGTAGAACAGCTGGCAATCCCTGAACGCGCTCGTTCATCAACCCCAAAAGTTCTATGTTTAGCATTCTAATATTCAGCAGAGTCTTCCCTGGTTGTAAAATTTTGCACACCCAATTTGAAGGGCCAGCTATTAAAATATCTGTATCACAATATTCGTCCATGTCTCCAGCAAAGGACGTAGACTTGCAGTTTTCGCGATGTCCAGGTCCGGCCGATCCCTTATTGGGCTTTCTTTTCTTTCCAAGGGGGGTGCCGCCAAACTTCCTCTCTTCTGAGAACGGTGGACTGGCACCAGGTTTCTTCGAAGAGGACAAAAAACATTGACTTGCACGTATTACCCTTTTGTGCTGACCAGATTCGGTGCTGATGAAATCGCTTTATTGGTCAACGTTTGGAGTAGATCGCCGTCTCCAGGACCTACAAATGGGTAGGAAACCTCCCGGAAGAGAAACCATGTTCTCGAGTTTGGTCAGTTTTAAAGGTCACTCAGCCTTCTGAACAGCAGGTAAGTAACCACCACTGCGCACTGTATTTGTCATGGCAATCGGGTCTATCCACCATTGGCTCCTGGTGCGACCACTTCCCATGTGACTCCTCATCCAACTCCGATTCAGACACCGTAACGTGGATTTCCCAACCAAACACCATTTGTCGCTCTGTAGTCGCCCTGCCATTTCCAGATGAACAGAAATCACAATTGGCTAAGATAAACCTGCCAGCAAATGCAGAAACGGACCTTGGCGATCACCAGGAAACAGGGCAGTGTAAGGTATGGAAATCATATGAAGTAAGGGAGACAGGACACATAACAAAAGCAGCTGACCTTGAAACTGCGTGGGATTAATGCCAATGAGAAGGTTGTCAAAAAATTTCAATGTTTGGAACGGATGAGAACAAGGCGCATGTTGAAAGCAAAATGAAAAAAGAGAAAACATAAAGGCATAGTCGATCAACCACCATTGCTGCAAACTTCCAGTCGTCTTCGACGTCTTTGTTTCTTTCTTTCTCACGAATTTCAGAAGCAATTGCCTAGGATAGACCCAAGTCAACAAACATTTCTTTGTTGATTGCAGTACAAAGGTGCAAACTCACAGACAAATGTTCGTGTATTTCATTAAGTACAAGCAGTTGGGCAACTTGTTCCTGGGTCACCTAGAAAAAAGATTTTGTATAACTTTACTATCCTAGACATTATGGGTAAAAAAACTACGACAAAATTCACGTTATCTAAATAAAATAATAAATAAATTAAATATGGACTTCCAGCGGGCAATCAATCCTGCATATCAACATGCAGCAATACTTTGCTATTTACTGGTCAAGTTTCGTGATAAAAAAAGTGAATATATAACAAATAAGAAATACATATAGCAGTTCAAAATAAGCAAAATAACCTAGGAAAAGTGGAAGACGGGAGGGACGGTACGAACGAGCTACTTACCTCGGAGCTCTTCCTCCCCATGCTTGGACAAAAATCCTCATCACCTTGGCTCATAGTTGTTTCTTCGCACTTTCCTGCGCCAAATGCCGTACAGTATATAGGGAATCGAATAAGTCGTAGCCTTACAAGAGCTCAAGAGACTCTACAAAAGTGGTCGGTGTGGTGACAGTAGCATACAATATTCCCTCCCGTTACGGACTCGCCCCAATCTTGATATTGCATCTCGTGACTAACGTGCACTGAATGGTATCCGGAGAATCTGCTGCTCGGTGTCTTGAAATGATGCAGTGTAGTGCTAAGCCAGGAAATCCAGGATGTCCGTAGGACACACCCATGAACGCAGTATCCTTTTTTATTTTATTTTCTCAAAAAATCTGCTTGACAAGAGTCACGTTCATTGTTGAGACAGGAATGCTAGCGATTCCTACGTGAACCTCTACATCCGGGTCTAAAAAAAAGAAACAAAACAAATGAAGGAAAATTGCCGAGCTGTGCCTCAATTGATGCTCAGAACTCTGTTAATAGGGTTATCACAGCATTCATACAGGCAAGAATGAAAATCACTTTGCGGCTTTGAACCAAGGTCCGGTACGTAAAGCAAGATCTCCAAAAATGTAGAGTCTTCATCCAGATTCGGTAGAATGAAGAAATGAAAGGATTGGGTTTGACTCGACGCCAGCCCAGTTTTCTCCAAATCGTTGGCGTGTCCGCTTCAATAACTGGGAGAGAACGTGAGTGCGCCGCGCTAACTCAGCCTCGCCCCTCCCTGATGTCCCTGCATCCGCAGCGAACAAGACTGTACCTCATTGATAGGAACGATGGAGCGTTCTGGAAGTAAACGAGAAGCCCTTCCGCCAAAGGTGACGTCGCTCCTCAGCAGGCTGCTGCTCCACTTCGTCAACAATGGTCAGTCTGAACAGACAGGGCCCTTTTCATTGCAAGAAAACTCTATTAAAAGGCATACTTACTTTGGTGGTACCGGCGGCACTATTTTCGATACGATGGATTCCACGGGAAGGTTTTTATCGTCTTTGTCATCCTCCTCAGGCAGCTCTTTTTTTCATCTATTTGTTCTCACTGGCTGTTGTATACTGGTCGATGTGCCATCAATTGCCCATTTCGTGGGACGCCATTTTGTTTTAACATGATGCTTACGAAACTGAAAATGCCTTCATTTCTTGAGCATAGGATTGTGATGGCTCTCGCAAGAATACAGTAGCATTTTTCTTCCTCAGGTGTCACACACTCTTGGGTGTACAACATTTCTTTTATGTTCCCAATTTGTGGAAACACGTTTTGGACCCAGTAGATGTATTTACTATATAGCTTGCTCATTTCAGGTCGAGTACCAAATTATCGTGCCAACTGCCTTTAAGGTAAATATGGCTAGGAGGAAAGAGTACTGGCTCCTGATCACGCGATTTGTGGTGCGCAGCAGAGGGCGCGCGAAAGGCGACACAGCGAAACCTAACTTGCATCCCACATCCCAAGGAAGGAGTGGGCGTGGCTGCGTACTTTACTTAAAAGTGGCGTCGGATGCGTTTCGTGGGTATTTCCATTTGAAAAAAAACAAGTGTTGCCTTATCCTGTGCGGTACAAGGTCATGTCGGCAACTGTTCCGAAACTAAAATATCCTTTCAAGAGGAGCGATTTGCACAAATTTAAGTATGTACGTAACCATGGACTCCCCATCTCTGGGATATGAAAGTTACTGTAAGCTCTCCTCCAAGAACCGCAGCAAACAGCGGCCACAACTAACCAGGATTGGGTCAACTGCTTTCACCAGCAACGCACCTAACTGATAATTTATCGCTATGACTCCTCCTAAGAGATAGCTGCTTATTTGGAGTAGTCTCTAGTACCGAAAACTTGTTTTCTGGGTAAATTGCAAAGCTGTTCTGCGAACAGCACTTACCTGTTGGCATTCTATGGTTATTTGTATTTTTTCGGTTATTTTCAGTTGGGGCTCGAGCATTTGGTCCCTATTTCATGATAATATTGTTATAACGATGGATCAGCGCAGACGTTGGGAGTATGTCGTGCAGGTTCTGATTGAAGCGGTTAACAGGAGCCCTGATACGCGGTATTCGGCCATTTCGCCACATTTGCACTTC